TCAAGTAACACATAGGTGATCTACGTTTTCACAAGGATCTCCTACTTTATAAAATCCGACCATGAAAATAACTAATACGTGATCGACTAGAGATCACTTAAGCAACATCATAAATAATACATGGGGATTTTCTCGATAACACATAAGTGATCTATGATTTCGCCAGAATCTCGACTTTTGTAAAAACATGATCCTTACTATAAATAAGTGATCAAATAGGGATCACTTAGGCGATAATAAACAATATACGAATAATTTCTGGGTAACATATAGGCGAATTATAATTTCACTAGGATCAACCAGAAATTACTTATGCGATTATAAATAATACATGGGAAATTTTTGGATAACACAAAGGTGATCTAGAATTTGACCAGAATCTTTCACTTTATAAATATGATCCTGGTAATAACTAATAAATAATTAAGTGGAGATCGCTTAGGTGATCATAAGTAATACATGGGAGAATTCTAGATAACACATAGGCAATCGATGATTTTTACAAAATCTCGTACTTTATAAAAAAATAATCCTGGTAATAACAAATAAGCGATCAACCGAAGATTACTTAGACGGTCATGAATAATACATGGGCGATTTCGAAATAGCACATAGGCGATCCTGATTTTTACTGAAATCTTCCATTTTATAAAAACTGATCCTCGTAATAACTAACTAATAAGTTATTGTTAAAAAATGTAGCTCAAAGTAACAATATAAAACAAGAAGATAAGTAGAATAAGAGAAGAAGAGATAACTTTCTTATTTCATCAAATGTTCAAGTGTATTCCATCTCACATTTCATGCCTCTATTTACACTATTACATATGAAGGTTACAAAATCATTGTCTTTAACATGGCATTAACAATTGAGATCATGGAGGAAGATCATGGGGAGGGGTTATGGAGGTATTAGAGTTACAATCATAATGGTGATGAGTAGTGGGAGGTAATTTACATCATGGGTGAAAGTAGTGGGAGTAGTGGACATCCACATTAACTAAATATTTTGTAACACTCCCCCTTGGATGTCCAAAAAAATAGATAATATGCCTCGTTAAAACCTTACTAAGAAAAAACCCTGTGGGAAAAAATCTTAGTGAAGGAAAAAGAGTACACATATCTCTAATACGCTTTATTTGCTGCCTCGTTAAAAACCTTACCAGTAAAATCAGTGGGACAAAACCTAGGCTAAGGGATAAAGAGTACAGCGCGTATCTTACTCCCCCTCATGAAAATATCACTTTATTTCTCGAAGACGTCGCATTCCAATCTTCTGTCTCAACTTCTCAAATGTTGAGGTTGGTAAAGCCTTAGTGAATAGATCAGCCAAATTTTCACATAAACGAATCTGTTGAACATTAATTTCACCATTTTGTTGAAGATCATGCGTGAAAAAGAACTTTGGTGAAATATGCTTTGTTCTGTCTCCTTTGATGTATCCTCCTTTCAGTTGAGCAATACAAGCAGCATTGTCTTCATATAGTATTGTTGGATTATCCTTTTTCACAAGAAAACCCACATTTCCTGAATATGCTGAGTCATTGATCTTAACCAAACACATTCCCGACTAGCTTCATGAATGGCTATTATCTCAACATGATTTGAAGATGTGGCACCTATTGTTTGTTTCATTGAACGCCATGACATAGCAGTACCTCCATATGTAAACAAATAGCCTGTTTGAGATTGGGCTTTATGTGGATCAGACAAATAACCTGCATCGGCATAGCCAATCATTTCTGACTTGAATTCATTAGAATAAAACAATCCCATATCTATGGTTCCCCGAAGATATCTAAATATATGGTTAACACCATTCCAATGTCTTCTTGTTGGGGAGGAGCTGAATCTTGCTAATAAGCTCACTGCAAAAGCAATATCTGGTCGAGTATTGTTGGCAAGATACATCAGTGCCCCAATTGCACTAAGATATGGAGTTTCATCACCAACGAGCTCTTCATCATTTTCTTGAGGCCGAAATGGATCTTTATTTATATCAAGCGATCTCACAACCATTGGGGTACTCAATGGATGTGCATTATCCATGTAAAATCGCTTTAAAATCTTTTCAGTATATGTTGATTGATGGACAAAAATTCTATTTGGTACATGCTCAATTTGTAGGCCAAGACAAAATTTTGTCTTACCGAGATCTTTCATTTCAAACTCTTTCTTTAAACACTCTATTGCCTTTGGAAGCTCTTTAGAAGTGCCAATGATATTCAAGTGATCAACATACACAACTATGATGACAAATTCAGATCCAGACCTCTTAATAAAGACACAAGGGCAAATAGGGTCATTTTTGTACCCTTCCTTTAGCAAATACTTGCTAAGGCGATTGTACCATATCCTCCCTGATTGCTTCAATCCGTATAAGGATTTCTGAAGTTTTATTGAACAAGTTTCTCTTGAACTTTTATGTGCTTCAGGAACTTTAAATCCTTCAGGGATTTTCATAAAAATTTCATTATCCAGTGAGCCATATAAGTAGGCTGTGACAACATCCATCGATCGCATATCAAGCTTTTCATGGACTGCCAGATTTATTAGATACCTGAAGGTAATTGCATCTACCACAGGAGAATATGTGTCCATATAATCAATGCCAGGCCTTTGCAAAAACCCTTGTGCCACAAGTCGTGCTTTACATCTTACGACTTCACCTTTCTCATTTCGTTTTCGCACAAAAACCCATTTGTACCCCACTGGCTTGACACCTTCAGGCGTTCGGACTATTTGTCCGAAAACTTCACATTTTTCGAGTGAAGCCAATTCCATTTGAATTGCATTTTTCCATTTTGGCCAATCATTTCTCTGTCTACATTCATCGACAAATTTTGGCTCAAGATCCTCATCTTGTTGCATTATTTTAATTGCAACATTATATGTAAAATTGTTATTAACCACAACGTTATTTCGGTTCCACCTTTTTCCTGTAGAGACATAACTTATTGAGATCTCTTCATTTTTATCATTTCCAGGTACTAGAACCTCCTGTGAGGTCTTATTAATTGCTATGTCCTTATGTTCCTCTTGAGCAATTGCCTCTATGTTATGATCAACTTGATCATTTGCTCCTTTCCTTTTTCGGGGATTCTTATCCTTGGAACCAATTGGTCTACCACGTTTAAGGCGTGGCCTAGACTCATTTGCATCATCATACTGTCCAGCTGGGACATCAACTCGAGTTGGAGCATTTACAGCTGGAATATGCGATTTAGTAACCCGTGGAAGGTTAGTAAATGCATCTGGCAATTGATTTGCAATATTTTGCATATAAATGATCTTTTGAACTTCTTGTTCACATTGATTTGTACGAGGATCCAAATGAGATAGAGATAATACGTTCCAATCTATCTCTTTTTCTAGCTGTTTATTTTCTCCCCCTAATGTTGGAAAAACTGATTCATCAAAATGACAATCAGCAAATCTGGCTGTAAACAAATCTCCTGTCATAGGCTCCAAATATTTAACAATAGAAGGAGATTCATAACCAACATATACTCCCAACCTTCTTTGGGGACCCATCTTTGTGCGTTGTGGTGGAGCAATTGGAACATATACTGCACATCCAAAAATTCTTAGATGGGAAATATTTGGCTCCTGACCAAAAGCCAACTGTAATGGGGAGACTTTATGATAACTGGTTGGCCTTATGCGCACAAGTGCTGCTGCATGCAAAATAGCATGTCCCCACACTGAAAGGGGGAGTTTTGTCCTCATTAGCAATGGTCTAGCTATTAGTTGAAGTCGTTTAATCAATGATTCTGCTAGACCATTTTGAGTATGAACATGAGCAACCGGATGCTCAACTTTTATTCCAGTGGCCATACAATAATCTGTAAAGGCCTGAGATGTAAATTCACCAGCATTATCAAGACGAATTGTCTTAATTGCATAATCTGGAAATTGTGCTCTTAACCTTATTATTTGGGCCAACAATCTCGCAAATGCCATATTACGAGTTGACAATAAGCACACATGTGACCATCTTGTAGATGCGTCTATCAAGACCATAAAATACTTGAATGGTCCACATGGAGGGTGTATAGGCCCACATATATCACCCTGTATACGTTCCAGAAATGCAGGGGATTCAATCCCAACTTTAGCTGCTGATGGTTTAATAACCAATTTTCCTTGAGAACAAGCAGCACAAGAGAATTCCTTAAATTGAAGAATCTTCTTATTCTTCAATGTGTGCCCATTTGAATTCTCCATTATTCTGCGCATCATGTTAGAACCGGGATGGCCCAACCTGTCACGCCAAATGATAAAATCATTAGAAGTAGTAAACCTTTTGTTTACTATGGCATGTGATTCAACCATACCAATATTTGTGTGGTACAACCCAGAAGAAAATGCGGGTAATTTTTTGTGCACACATTTTTCCCCGCTTTTATTGTAGTAATATAAAGGTATTCAACCTTTCCTTCGTTAGAGGTCTCAACATGGTAGCCATTTTGGCGAAAAGCTTTGAAACTCAACAAGTTTCTTTGAGACTTACTACAATACAATGCATTATTAATAGTTAATATCGTTCCTCCAGGTAGTAATAAGGCCGCTCTTCCAGAGCCCTCAATTAACTTTGTACTACCAGATATTGTATTAACATAAGCCTTTTTCATAACCAAATAAGAGAAATTTCTTTTCTCTTAATATTGTGTGAGTTGTAGCACTATCCAAAAGGCATAAATCTTCATTACTCATCTTGGATCCAATTGAAGACTGGGGAATTTTATATTCTTCATAAAAAAAAAGTACATCATGAGAAATACGGAAAAAACTAACATCACCAACGACAACATAAGACAACTTAAGTACTACTTGAAAATAAAAAAACAACTTTAGAACGAGACAAAAAAAACCACTGAAAATAAAAAATAACATAATTGCATTCCCCAGTAAAATGATCAAACTTTAGTTTTGATCTCCAAAGAAGTCTTCAACTTCCAAATGAGTAAGATCATCGAGGCCTTGAAAATCATCATCATTCAAAGCAAGATTTGCCTCGGCATTGTCATCATTTTTTTTGAAGGCCTTGCCTCAAAATTATTTTTAAAGGTCAAGTGTGACTCCACTGGGGTATTAGCAGAAGATGCTCCAACATTATTTGCCTTTCTTTTGATGGAGTTTTGATAAAGCCTGACAAAATGCTCAGGTGCACGGCATTCAGTTTTCCAATGACCTTTCATGCCACAGCGGTGGCAGTTACCGCTTTTGCCTCTTGAAGGATTGTTTTTGAGAACCCATATTGTTCTCTCGTTTGCCATGACCACCACGATGACGACTATTATATCGTCTCTTACCATTGCCATGCCCACGTACATTCATATGGCCATGATTATTATTTTGTCTTTTTCCAGACTTATCACGTCTAGTTGCCATATTCGCTTCAGGAAGCGGAGCTGACCCTGTGGGACGGGCTTCATGATTTTTCAGCAAAAGGGTATTATGTTGCTCAGCCACCAGAAGGCATGAGATCAATTCAGAATACTTTTTAAAACCCTTTTCACGGTATTGCTGCTGTAATACCATATTTGAGGCATGAAAAGTCGTAAGAATCTTTTCCAGCAAATCCTCATCATTCATAACTTCCCCACATAATTTTAATTGGGAAGTTATTCGAAATACAGCAGGGTTATACTCACTTACGGTCTTAAAATCTTGCAACCGTAAGTGCATCCACTCATATCGAGCCCTTGGCAATACCGTAGCCTTAAGGTGATCATACCTTTCCTTCAGGCCAGTCCACAATTCAAGTGGATCTTTCACTGTTAAATATTCAACCTTCAAACCTTCATCCAAATGATGACGAAGGAAACTCATGGCCTTTGCTTTGTCTTGGCTTGATGCCTCATTACCCTGAGTAATGGTGTTACCAAGGCCTTTAGCGGCTAAGTGAATCTCAGCATCGAGAACCCATGATAGGTAATTCTTTCCAGAAATGTCAAGTGCCACAAACTCAAGCTTTGACAAATTCGACATAGTAAAAACTATCAAAGAAGATAACTAATTAGAAATCATTAGGATAATAGAATAACGAATCTTAAAAATTGACATAATATCAAATTTGTGATCTACATATATACTAAAGTGATAATTCCATAGAAAAGAATACTATTTTTTCTTCTTCAAATAATTAGTATATCTTTGATGTTAACTAGAACAAAATATTTTCTCTCAATTAATTCTATTAACATAAAAATTAGCAACTTTCATATGACAATCATGCAAAAAACTTAAAATAAAGAAACATAGAATTCGTTATTTTTACATATATCTAGAGATGTGAGAAATTATAAAATGACATATTAAAGACACTAATCATGAAATCAAAATATACAACGAAAAAAAATAAAATGAACAAATATACCTGAACAACAAAAAGAGCTCAACTTCGTGCTGATAACATGTTAAAAAATGTAGCTCAAAGTAACAATATAAAACAAGAAGATAAGTAGAATAAGAGAAGAAGAGATAACTTTCTTATTTCATCAAATGTTCAAGTGTATTCCATCTCACATTTCATGCCTCTATTTATACTATTACATATGAAGGTTACAAAATCATTGTCTTAAACATGACATTAACAATTGAGATCATGGGGGAAGATCATGGGGAGAGGTTATGGAGGTGTGGGAGTTACAATCATAATGGTGATGAGTAGTGAGAGGTAATTTACATCATGGGTGAAAGTAGTGGGAGTAGTGGACATCCACATTTACTAACTATTTTGTAACAGTTATTAACTAAAAATCACTTAGACGATCATAAATAATACATTGGCGATCTATGATTTCACCAGAATAAGCAATTGAATGAAAATTACTTCGGGGCTCATAAATAACGCATGGGCGATTTCTACATCACATAGATGATCTATAATTTCATCAGGATCTCCCGCTATATAAAAAATAATCCTGGTAATAACTAATAAGCGATCAACTAGAGATCACTTAGGCGATCATAAATAATATGATCGATTTCTAGGTAACACATAGGCACTTTATAATCTCCCACTTTATAAAAAATAATCCTGATAATAACTAATAAGCAATCAACTATAGATCATTTAAAAGATCACAAATAATATATGAGAGATTTATAGATAACACATGGTAGTGATTTATGATTTTACTAGAATCTTCCACTTTATAGAAAAATCAATCATGATAATAACTAATAAGCGATGGATCGAAGATTACTTAGGTGATTCATCACACCAGATTTCAGAAAATACATTACTAAAAATACTTAGCCTGCCCTGTTGCTATGATTTTATTTATTTATTGGAGAACCTTAAAAATTCCTAATTTTTCATCCAGGAGAAACTCAAGCCTACGCTGCTAACACGGCTTCTAACCTTAAATTTCTGCCAATGGGTATTATAGTACTAATTCTGCTTACCTTCTTTATCTCAAGAACTGCTAGGACATCGACAAAAATAATTAAAACTCCTGGATATTGAAATTTGAAAATACACACCCGTAAACAAAATTCTATATTTCCTCTAATTCATTTGTTCTAACAAACTATCCATAGTACTCTTGAATTTGATTTCTCAGAAGGTCATTCAATCAATAAAAACAGTGCAAGAGAATTTATTTTTCTTTGTTTTTACCGGAAAGACTATTTGTTTTTGTCATTTTGCATGCAAAGTCATTCTACACATTCAAATGATATTCATCCTCAACAAAACAAAAAAAATACTAATTTTCTTACACAATTTCCTGAAAAATCTACTCAACTAAATAAATTATATGACTTAGTGAATAAACTTGATAATATAGAATTCTTTAAAACATAACCATTCTGTAAGGCCAGCACTGGGAAGAGAAGATAAAGGAAGAAGTATATATGTAGAGAAGAATACTTGAGAAATCTTTTTTTTCCCGAAATTCCAACAGGCCGACCTTAAAACAATTGATGATGAACTGCTAAATATTGAATACTAATTCCTTTGGAAATTAACGGAGACTCACAGGTAATTATTAAACAAATTACGACAAAGAAGCTTACTATACTCTAATATTATTGGTGATTGCAAGTTACAATTAAATATATTTGATATCCAAAGATATGCCATGTCGTATACTCAAAAATGGGTGAAATTATAGTATATTTCATTATGATCATCTATACAATATATAGAGTTACACAGATATGGGAAGATATTTACAATCCCAAAAATGTGATGACCCAAAAGGTCATCACTTGATTTAAAAGTCAATTTTGTGTTCCGAGGCCTTAAAAACCTCCTCTTGTCTCACCTCGATTTACGTGCGCAGTCCGGGCGTATATCCGGAAAGCCCTTATGTGAAAAATTTGAGAAAATGCTAATTTTGCCTTTAAAAAGTGAATTTAAGTTGACTTCGGTCAAAATTTTGGGTAAACGGACCCGGACCCGTAATTTGACGGTCCCGGGAGATCCGTAGGAAAATATGGAACTTGAGCGTATGTCCGAAATTGAATTCCGAGGTCCCTAGCCCGAGAAATGAATTTTTGAAGAAAATTGTTTAACTGAAAAATATAGGAAGTTTGGAAATTGAATAATGCTTGAATGTGATGGTATCAGGGCCGTATGTTGGTTCAGGAGCCTGGTACAGGTCTAAAATAATGTTTAAGTCCAATCTGTGAAATTTGATAGGAAACGGACTTGATTTGATATAAATTGGACCCTCGGTTGTGAAAATAGTAACTTTAGGTGTTCTTGAGAATTTCATTGATTTTGATGCTAAATTCATAGTTGTTGATGTTATTTGGATGATTTGATCGCACGAGCAAGTCCGTATGATGTTTTTGGACTTGCGTGCATGTTTGGAGCCCTGAGGGCTCGGGTGAGTTTTGGATAGGCCGCGGAGTGTTTTGAACTTAGGAGCAGCAGCTGGTGTGTTGCAGGTCTGCAGGCTTCGCAATTGCGAAGCCTGGCTTGCAAATGCGAGCTCGCATTTGCGAATAACCATCGCATTTCCGATGACTGGGTAGGGGGGACCTTCGCATTTATGAAGCTCCATATCGCAAATGCGACTCCAACAGTAATTGCAATTGCGAACGATGGTTCGCATTTGCGAAGAAATCAGGCCAGGCCAACCTTCGTAATTGCGAAGCCTTGGCCGCATTTGCAAGTTCGCATTTGCGAACCTGGCATCGCAAATGCAATAACTGCGTCTGGGTAAATTGAAACTTAGACGGGATTTTCCTCATTTTTCAAACTCTTTCAAACCCTAAGCTCTCTTGGGCGATTTTTTAAAGGAAGGTTCTTCCCCAAATCATAGGTAAACAACTTTTAACTCATTTCTTTCAATCTACATCATCATTTTACAAGATTTCATCACAAAATCTAGAGATTTTTATGGGAATTTGGGTGTTTTTGATCGAAATTTGGGGATTTAGACCTCAATTGAGGTCGGATTCCAAAAACCAATTGCATATCCGGTCTCGGGGGTGAATGGGTAATCGGGTTTTGGTCCGAACATCAAGTTTTGACCAAGCGGACCCGGGGTCGATTTTCGGGTTTCTGGGGAAAATGTTGAGAAAACTATAATTAAGCATTGGGTGCGAGTTCTTTAGCATTTAATGATGTTATTAAACTAATTATGACTAGATACAAGTGAATTGGAGGTGAATTCTAGAGGGAAAGCGATAGTTGAGGCCATATTTGTGGTCGTGGAATCGAGGTAAGTGTTTGGTATAACCTTAGCTTGAGGGAATAGGTGTTGTGCCTTATTTGCTATGTGCTAGTGTAGTGTACGACGTATAGGTGTGGTGACGAGTATCTATACGTTGGTGTCAAGCATGCCCGTGAGTCTTAAATTGTGATCGTTGTGATTCTTGATATGTACTACAAAGGCCTAAATTGTTGGTTACACGTGTTGAGTAAGACTTATGATCATTTTTCGTAATATTTGTCTATTGTTGAGCATTGGCTCTAGTTGAGGTTCAATTGTGAAGTTAAATGTTGGAAAAAGATTGGTTATAGCTGATTCCCTTGCCGGGACGTATTTAATTCTTATTGTTGATTCCCTTTCCGGGACGTATTTAATTCTTATTGTTGATTCCCTTGCCGTGATGTATTTATTCTTAATGTTGATTCCCTTCCCTGGATATTGATTGTTGCTATTGTTCGGGTGAGTAATGAATGATAAAGCACGTAGGGTGATGCCGTGCGCATTCATACTTATGCATATGGTGAGGAAAGAGTGATAAAGCACGAAGGGTGATGCCGTGCACATTTACATTGATATTGATGCATATGGTGAGGAAGAGAGATAAAGCACGAAGGGTGATGCCGTGCACATTTCTAATATTCATTTGGTGAGGAAGAGCGATAAAGCACGAAGGGTGATGCCGTGCATATTTTCTTTATTGAATGCATAGTGAGGATTGAGAGTAAAAGCACGAAGGGTGAAGCCATGCATTCATTGCCTACTTGTTGTGATTTCTTGTTGCTGTTGGTTCAAGCGCCTTAATTGTTTCATTCCGTTATCTCTGTGTTTCCTTATGCTGTTATCCCCTATAGCATGTTGCCCCTTCCCGTTAATCTCTGTTTAGCTTCTATTACTGCTATTTTGTTAGATATTGTTTAACTGCAGGTTATGTTGTTGTTGTGTCCTAGCCTCGTCACTACTTCGCCGAGGTTAGGCTCGATGCTTACTCAGTACATGGGGTCGGTTATACTGATGCTACACTCTGCACTCTTTTGTGCAGATCTCGGTACTGGAGCATACGGACCTTAGCTAGGGGTTGCTACCTTCAGTCCATCGGAGCCCCGAGGTAGTCCTGCAGGCGTTCGCGAAGGATTACACCCACCTACCTACACGTTCGCGGGCCTTGCACCGCGTTAGTGAAGAGTAAGGGTCAGTTACCCCCCCGGTCCCATGCCTATGCGTTCGCAAGAAGCTGGCTGCATTCGTGAAGGGTAAGGCCCCCATTGCTCCTCGTTCGCGACACAGCTATCGCATTCGCTGTGAAGGAATTTCCACCCC